CTGCCTGGATTGTTTACCTGACCAATCTTTGCCTAAAGCCTGTTTGCTCTGATTAAGTCCCCTGGATCTGATGATGGCAATTCTGAAGCCTCGTGAATCAATGAACCAATTTGACATAATTAGCCAAAAATGCTCAACACATTTGAAGGAGTTTAGAATGGGTATCTGCTGGATAGCTTTCAGAACTAAAACTGAGCGGGTATCCTAATATCTGCATTTTTTCACGGCTGAACTTGCTTGTTGCATAATAATAGTATTGATAATTATTATATAAATAAATATGAAGGAAAACTAATGTCTGACCTGTGAAATTGCAATATGATTAACAGCCCTTACGAATAACAGTTATATCACGGTGTGCTCCTGTAAATATGGCTCCGATTTCTAATCCATCCTGGTTTTCAAGCTACAGTACATACTGTATATATCTGTTTGGCCAAGGGCTTAACATGCATGCCTCGCCGCAGAGAGATACTGGGATCGGCTTGCATTTTGTTCCTGTATTTCGTATCTATTAAATTTTTTTTTTGCTAATTTATGATAATTTGGACACTTTGCCCGTGCAGCCAATTATTTGAGTGGGCAGCACCTATAACTATATAAACACATAATTACTTTAAATAATTCTGATACTTTAAATAATTGTAATTGTAATGATAATAATTGCAACCAACTCTGCTACCCATTACTTTAGTTCCCAAAGGTTCTCCACGTTCCTGCTTTGGTTTTGATGATGATCATATTAAAGGAGAAGCATCAATGACTGTTTAGATGTGCAGTGTGAATAAATATTTGTTTTAAATTGTTCAATGCATGACTGCAGTGGGTATAGATGTGTGTATGTAATATTTGTGTCTGTCTTTTTTAGATCTATTTGCATGTAGTGAACTATCCTCAATCAGTTCAAAACTAGAACTACTGTAATTATAAAAACGTTTTCCTTGTCTTTGAATAAAACTGAAAATGGGAAAGACCTGTGGTTTGAGCTGCGATTCTGATGCATTTAGATACTTCAGTAGTACAGAAACGCCCAGATGATTTGAGCTTACTGTGAAGCTCGACATAAAGTATGACGTAGTCCTCGCTTGCAGCGGTCCTTTAGATGGGATTTATTCAAAACACATCTCAGCGACACTTCCGCTTCAAAAACGAAGCTGTGTTGAGCAGAATGACTTAGGCCTAACCTCACTACCTGGAGCACCAGACCTCTGTTATTGTCTTTGGATTCCAAATTCAGCCTCATGGACTCTGGACCTAAATGTACCTGCTGTCTGTCATGGGTACTGACCTGGATTGGCTTATTGATGTGATTATATATACTTGGAACCCTATCACCTAGTATTTGTAGCCACCATTTTAAGGAAGCCCTACTCTAGTCATCAGGAATCTTAGTTGGGCCATCTACAGACTGCTGTCTTTTCTCCATTGTGAAGAACCCATCTTATGGTAACGTACCACTACATGTTTGCAATTCCCAATTCATAGTTCTTCCACTACTCAACAGTCTGTCTTTTTGCAGATTTTGACCAAAGCTAAATACCTTCTATGGCCTCATCTCAGTATTATTGTGAATAAACTTCATAAATCTTTTCCCCTTTTGTGGTCATCCTTCTGGGTCCTACCTGGATCAAAATCATATCAGTGCACTTTACCTATGGCCTCACTTGTTTTTTTTTTTCTGACGCTGTGCTGGGTTATAAGAATATCACACACTGTCAAATAATTATTGCAGTTGCTCTTTGGTTGAAAGACAATAAAAATGACTGTCCTTTAACCTGCCTCACTGTACAATGTAAAACGGAAGATTAAGAGCAATAATCAAATATTTATCAATGATTATCCATTGAACAGCACTTATTAAACAGTATTACATATGTGAGGGCTAAGAATATCACACTGTGTTTAGCTGGCATAAGACTTAAAGCAGCTCTTGCTGTCCATCCATTAGTCTTTGTTAGCTTATCTGTAAGGGTCATACTAGGGCTGTGCAGTCAATAGCCGAAAATTGCAGTAAACCCTAGACAGGTCACCAGTCCATTGCAAGGAAGAGAGGTACAATGATGCACTTACACTTTGATACTCAGGGGTATGTCAATCTGAACATGACTGTTAACCTAACAGTCATGTTTTTGGACTTTGGGAGGACACCAAAGTAAGTAGATGAGGAAGCCTAACATTGGGGCCATTTTGCTGTTTCCTTAGTAATGTCATAAGTCAAGACTTAATAAAAAATGTAAAGGATGTATTCTGTTCTTATATCAATGATTTTGTTCAACATGACTGGAATAAATTCTGTTAATACTTAAAGATGTTTTCTTTCACTTTTTGCATACTTTCTGGGAAACATTCCCTCTCAAATTAAGGATACAGAAGATCTTAATAAGATGGTCTTGTAAAGTTTGAAATGCTACAGGGAAATGCAGAGCCTAAATCTTCCTCTCTGCTCTGGGTAAGACAGCTGCTCCATCACTTTGATATGGAAACGGTACTACATCTGTCACCAAAGAAACATCCCTCAAGCTGCACAGTCCCACTACAGATCACTCTTACCTACTGTAATGTGCAGGCCGTCATCATGATTCTTGAAGTCATGATATTTCTTAAAACACAAAGTCTTATCAATTACAATTGTCTTACTACACTGGCAGATTATTGCACTTATATTAAGTAGAATCTTCTCAAAAAAAAAAGAGAAATCAATAATCTAACAGAATCTGTTCTATATTATTTCTATATTAATATTAAAGTAAAATCAAAAACACTTTTTGGATATATCTAAGATTGTACGACGTTACTAGAGGGACATCTTATGCAATGACTTTACCTAATATTATATTGGAATTTTTATTAAATATATTTAATTACTACACTGATTGATTAATTAATCAAGGCGTATCTGTAGATATAATTTTATGAATAATAAGAATTTAATAGGCTAATATTAAACTAGGGGCAGGGGGGTTCCCCGAATATAAAAAATCACAGATGGGGCCTATATGCAATTATTTTGTCCAGGACCAAGCCTATGCTGTCAGCATGCCTGCTCAGGATTACAGAAAATGGATGAAGTGGAACAATTCAATTCAATTCAGTCTATTTATATAGAGCCAATTTACAACACGTCATCTCAAGGCACTTTACAGTTCACCAGATCATACAGTCAAATCGATCAAAAGTTTTCTAAGAAAAACCAGTTAACTGCATCGACTCGAAGGAAATTCCTCACACTAAGCATGCTTGTAGTAACAGTGGAGAGGAAAAACTCCCTTTTAACAGGAATACACCTACGGCAGAACCAGGCTCAGTGTGAGTGGCCATCTGCCGAGGCTAACTGGGGTTCAAGAAGACAAAAGCATTTATACGGAAAGAAGTAGAAATATTAAAGTCAACTGTAAAAGGCAGCCCCATTCAGAAAACACGAAGCCACAAAGATGAGCTCCGAGCCAGCTCCCATGACAGAGGATGAAGAGAGCACATCCAGCCAGCCACAGACAGAGGAACAGGACTACACTGAAAAAACAGGCCGATCTGTAACATCTATGAACAAAGGTGTTAATGGCAATAGCACAGCTGATATTTCTCTCCAGGATGGTGTCACAGCCAAACAAGACGATGCAAAACCACTATGAGAAAAAGCCGAGAGAGCATAACGTTAGAAAATGAACTAACAGATTATGCAGAGCGGAAGAATAAAGATAGAATGAAGCAAAATGATGAAAAAGGGATCCCTATGTCCTCTAGAATTCTAAGCCTATAGCTCTATAGCTGCATAACTATAGAGATAACTTAGGATAACCTGAGCCACTCTAACTATAAACTTTATCAAAAAGGAAAGTTTTAAGCCAACCCACTAGCTCCACAGGAGAGGAGCCTGTTAACTAGAAGATTTACCTCCCATTCAACTTTTATAAATTCCTGGAACCACTAGTAAACCTGCAGATTGAGAGCAAAGTGCTCTGTTAGGAATATAAGGAACAATCAGATCTCGAATATAAGATGGAGCTTGGCCATTTAAGGCTTTATATGTGAGAGGGAAGATTTTAAATTCTATTCTGGATTTAACAGGAAGCCAAAGAAAAGAAGCCAGGATAGGAGAGATATGATCTTTCTTTTTAATTTCCATCAGAAGTCTGGCTGCAGCATTTTGGATCAACTAAAGGCTTTTAACTGCAGTTTGTGGACTTCCTGATAGTAAAGAATTACAATAGTCCAGACTTGAAGTAACAAATGCATGAAGTAGTTTCTCAGCATTACCCCTGGACAGGATACAGTATTTCAAATTTTTTGCAACATTTTACAGATGAGAGCAGGAAATTCTAAAAACATCTTTGATATACGATATAAATGACAGGTTCTGATCAAAAATAACACCAACATTTCTTTATTATCTGACATCAGTTTAATCCCATGCAAGTGAAGTGACTGGCTAATCAGCTTCTATTTCAAAGACTCTGGTCCAAAGACTATAAATTCTTTTTTTATCCACATTCAGGAGCAGAATGTTAAAAGTCATCTAGATTTTTATATCTTCAAGCCATGCCTGTAATCTATGTAATGGGTGGTATTCAGGGCTTGACTGGGACAAAAAATCGGCCCTGGCATTTTGGACTAGACTGGCCCACCACATTTTTTTTTTTTGGTGTACTGAATGTGTATACCAACTGTGCAATACCTTGAGGCCAGGTTCATGGAAATTAGTGAGAGTGGACACTTAAAATACTTCCAAAAACTTAATTTATTAACACTGTAAAATGTAAGCTCCACCACAGCACAACAACAATTCTTAGATCAGGGAGAGAGAGAGAAATAAGTCACAGTCAACCACACAAATTACGCTACTCTTCTCATGCTCTTCTTTACGCTGGTGCACATGCCTCCAATCAGATATCCTAGTAATAAATGAACTTGTGTCAGTAGTCTTTCCAAATGCAATACATACAAAACAAAATAAAGCATTTATTTTTTATTTTATTGTTTCTCACAATATGTGAGCCACCTCCTGTTGGTTGCATTTTTAGTGGTGAATACCTTTTGCACAACTGGATTTTTTGTCCTTTGTTGTGGGTGGTGATTCAAAAAGTTTTGTAAAAGACAAGGATCAGGACAGGTAAAGTAATCTATTTCCTCCTGCTCTCTGCTCTCATCTCTCTCGCCATGTCTCTCCTCAGCCGCACTGACATCATGTTCACTGCTCGGTTCGCCCTCGCCTCCAATATAACCACAGACATCCCAAGTTCCAAAAACTTATTTCAGTGAGATGCTTAATGAAGATAAATTGTGCCTTCATCAGTAGTGGATTAGAGATATACAGTGAAGTTTACAAGAGGGCCAATTCAATTCAGTTTGCTTTAGGTAGATATTTCATAATGCAGAAAATAACAATCTTATAGTACAATTTATTTATGATGCTTTATAATAATAATTAGGTGCCATAAAATATTTGCTCATGTGCTTGCATTAATTATCTGTGCCCATGTTTTTATAAAATAAATAATTGCCCAAAATTTTTTTTGCTCAGGTGCTCTGCGCGCTCGCATTTTATTTGGTGCCCTATTGTGCCCCTGTATAGTACTGGGTCAGCTGACGCCCCTGGCGTTGCATGCGCCATACATGCAGTCCATCATTCTTTACCCTCACTAGACATGGATACACTTTCTGCTGCAAAATGAGGTGACTGTAAAAAAGTAAACTGAAACTTATTGGCTTATTTTTCTGACTGATCCAATCAGCCGCCTGGAACGCTGGTTGATCGGAGCATCGCTTTGAACAGATATGCTGCACAGGTTGCACCAGCAACCTCCTCCTCACACCCCGCACTCTCTTGTTGTTGTCTGCGCAATCACAGTAGTTCTAATCAGCACATGATGCATGAATTATTGTATTGCCTGCCCGCTCTCACTCGCATTAAAAAAACATCACCTTGCAGAGTCTAAAATCCGGGATAATTTATCTGACTCGCGGGCATCCGTGAACAACTATCGATATCAGGGAGACTCCCGAAACTTCCAGGAGACTTGGGATGTCTGCAACCACCACCACCATCATATTTTACATCAGACACCGGAGCAGATGAAGGGCCTGCTGTTGGGAACATGTCAGTCAGTTTGACACATTTCGCAGCGTCCGTTTGAAGAACTTGTTTCTTTTTGTCTCTGCGCCTCCCTTGCGTTTCTTATCCATTACTACTGTGAACACCGCTGCACAAAGTTCCAATGAAGAGTGAAGGTATTTTTCTACTTTATGATTGGCCTAGCCCTTTAGACTGTGAGGGATGATAACCAATGGGCTGCAGTAGCCTGTGGTAAGGGCCGGACAGACTCTTGCGCTGCTGATTTTATTTTTCTGCATGCATTATGCAAATATAACGAGGCCGATATATAATAATGCCCGGTACGCCTGATTACCAGTCCATGCCTGGTGGTACTCCACAGGTAACCCTTTAGCATGAGGAAGATTTGTCATTAACATGAAAAAACTGAAATCGATCAGATAGCTAAGATTTAAAGCAGTTTAATGCTGTTCCATTAATTCCTATAAAATATTCAGGTCTTTCTAAAATAATATTATGATTAACGGTCATGATCTATCCTGATAGCTCACCTTATTTGTTCATTTCACTCACCTGCCTAACTCTGCATGGTTTTCTAATTAGCACTCATCTCATCCACCTGCGTCTGTCCCTTTATATTCGGTTCAGCCCAAGATCTCAGGGCCAGATCATAGTTTTTGTTTGTTTTTGTTTGTTTTGTTTTTGCTGTCTTTTTATGTCCTGGTTCCCGGTGGGCAGGGAGAGAGTGTTTGTTCTGTCTTTTGATAATTTCCTGATCCTTCTCCTCAGAGCCCTCAGGGTTTTGGCTCGGAACGCGGAGAGGGTCAGAACCCCGTCTGCCGGGGTTCCTGGACCAGCCCCGGAGCTCACAGCTCAGTTTGAATACCCAATCCGGTCCAGTCAGCGGCCCAGCAGACCCCCATCAAAGATTTTGAAAGCTGTCTTCGGTTAAATGCTTAGAGCAAATGAACAGCTGAGCATCAAACAGGGATCTTATGATACACAAAAATAATCCATGCCTGACGAGTCTTTAGATCCTTGGGAAGACTGTGAAAAATTTCCACTTTCTTCATGCAGCCTGGAGCACTTAGATTTATTTGTCATTTTGTTTACACACGTGTAAAACAAATAGAAATTTTGTTTGGAACAGCTCTCTGGACAATTTCATCTTTTTTAAAAGTGCAGCCTTGAAAAATAGTATATAATATATATATAAATTATAATATATATATAAAAACAGTAATATAAACATATGACTAAATTTACAGTTGTGATTAGTGGTGAACCTGGGACGCGGTCCTGTGTCATCAGGGTGAACAGCAGGGGGCTCAGGACGCAGCCCTGAGGGGAACCTTTGCTTAGACTGATGACATCAGAGGTGTTCTGTCCAACCCGGACTGACTGAGGTCTGTTGGTGAGGAAGTCTAGCAGCCAATTGCGGAGGGGTGTATTGAATCCCAGCTGTTTCAGTTTGCCCATTAGATGCTATGGGATGACTGTGTTGAAAGCTGAACTGAAGTCCAGGAACAGCATCCGCACATGGGTGTTCTTCTCCTCCAGGATCAGGTGGAGAGCAGCAGAGATGGCGTCCTCAGTGCAGCGGGTGCGTCGGTTGGCAAACTGGTCAAATGTTGGCGGCAGACTGGAGACGATGTGTTCTTTAACCAGCCTTTTGAAGCACTTCATCATAATTGGAGTCAGTACGACATTGAGTGAGTTGACCTGAGGCTTCTTTCGGACTGGAATAATGGTGGCAGACTTGAAGCATGCTGGTGCTATGGATTGGTCCAGCGAGGTGTTAAAAATGTCTGTGAGGACACCAGCCAGCTGATCTGCACACTCCTTATACACCCGCCGAGGTATGTTACCAGGCCCTGCGGCCTTCCTTGGAGTGACTCTCCTCAGAGTTTACTTCACTTCAGCTAAGTCCAGGTTTAGTGTCTCCTCTCCCTGGTGTGGAATGGCTCTCACTGCTGGAGTGCTGTTTAGTGCCTCAAACCTTCCAAAGAAGTTGTTCAGTTCATTTAGGGAGTCAGTGTTTGCTGCATCTACCGGGGGGGAGAGTGTGTTGTAGTCTGTGATCATCCACCTGGTGTTGCTTTTGGAGTGGAAAAGATCCTGGATTTTCTGGCTGTGGTTCTGCTTTGCTGATCTGATGGCACGTTTTAAGTTGGCATGTGGTGTTCTCAGTGCCTCTTTATCACCAGATTTGAAAGCTGAGTTCCGTGCTTTTTGCGATTTCCGAACTTATCCATTTATCCAGGGGGGTTGGTTGGCCCAGGTGGTGATGTTCTTTTTGATGCTGACGTCCTCAATGCATTTGTTAATGTAGGCTGACACAGTCAAGGCATACTTATCAATATTTAATAAGTTGTCATATGTTGCTGCAGCCTTGAAGATGTTCCAGTCAGAGCATTCAAAACTGTCTTGGAGTGTCTCCATGGCACCCTCAGACCACACTCGGAACTCTTTAACTATTGGTTTATGCTGCTTTGAATGCATCTTTGATGTCAGAGTAAATCAGGTCTAAAGTGTTTTCACCCCGAGTTGCAAAATAGAAATGAGGGAGAACAGTCTTCAAGTTAGCCTGGTTAAAATCCCCAGCAATGATGAAAACACCCTCTGTGTATGCAGATTGGAGCTCAGAGATAGCCTGGTATAGACTCTTCATGGCCTCTTTTGTGTTTGTGCTTGGGGGCACGTAAACAGCAGTGATGCTAACCACACTGAACTCTCTGGGCAGATAGAACGGTCTGCAGTTCAAATACTCAATGTCTGGAGAGCAGAAGCTAGCGACTGATCTAGCATTTTTAAACCAGCTGTTGTTGATGTAAATACATAGCCCACCACCCCAAGACTTACCGCTTAGTTCTTTGTTCCTATCGGTGCGGTATAGCGTTAGCCCCTCCAGGCTAATAGCATTGTCTGGTATTGTTGGATGCAGCCAAGACTCCGTCGGAATGATGCTGCAGCAGTTACTAATCTCCTTTCTTGAAGACAGTTCCAGTCGGAGATTATCCATTTTGTTATCCAACGAGCAGTCGTTGGAGAGCAGGATTGATGGAAGCGGAGGTCTGTGGGGATTTCTCTTTAGCTTCGCAGTTAGCCCCCCTCTGCATCCTCGCTTTCTCTGTCTCGCACATCTCTTCCTTCGGCAGTTACGTTCTGCTGTTGTTTTGTTTACATCCGTCTGTAGCACTCCGCAGCTTAAAACATTTTGTGACCGTAGCTCCAGCAGGCATTGGCGATCATAGATGCGAGTTTGATGTGTAGTCTCTAACGTATTAACGTATAGGGAACACACCAGAAACTGCCTGCTATGTATTTCTTGTAGAAGTAAACCCAACTATAGGCTAAACATTTAAACTGGTGACTTACATCTACCTCCATTCATCTTCTTGGGCCAGTGAACCCAGGGCTGGTCTGTATGTCAATTTCTGGGCGTGACAAAAGTACAGGCCAGAACCAAATGAGGCAACATCCCAGAATTGACGTCAATTCAGGGCTTCGTTTCAATTTGCCCGTTTTATGGTGGAAGTTTAAAATTAGGAGATTTGCAGAGAGAGAAGGTGTCCATGGGGTTTGAACTTCACTGTATGTCCATTTCGCCCGCTGAACTGTTGTTATCCATCTATGACAATGTTTTGCATTCTATGACCCCTTTAACGTAAACGTGACAAAAACAAAGAAAACCTAGAGTGTTTAAAACTGACGTTTCTTTGACAAATCTAAAAAGTTGCTTGAACTCACCCAATAATAACTAAAATTACACTATAAGTTATTTCACATAACAGTGTATCCTAGCCAATAGTCAACCTATGTTTCCTCCCATAGCATTTATTTTGAAATATATTCTAGAATAAGGACTACCTTGCCCGAACCTGTTTGAGTGGGTGTTTTGAACTGTCCTTCAATAGAGACAATTTTCTCTTTAGCAAACAGCAGTAAAAAAGCACAACAGGGGCCCAATCTGCAGTGGAAAAATGCACAAAAGGGCTGTCTGTCCAACAGATATACTGTGTGGTACCTCCCAGAGAAAAATTTTACAATTTTCTAAAAGTTGTGAATTCAACAAAGGGACCATTTTATGTTTTGTAGGGCTCCCTCTGCTTTTTGACAGGGCATTTTCCTCCAAAGATTTATTGAAATATGTTTTCAGCAAACAAAGATCAAAACAGAAAGTTTGAATTCTAAATGTACATGGTTGTTTGCTGGCCTTTGTCCTGAAGGCACAAACACGATGAGAAACAGCAATAGAAGATGGTAAATTAATGTATGACACAAGCTTTAGTAGGTAAGGTATGTGAGGGGCATAATAAGAGGAGACCCAGGCTTGTAATAGACCGGTATCCTAATGGTGTATCCTGTCTCTGGACCACTAAACGACTGATGGATGTTCATCTGTAGTTATCTGCCCTGGAAAAGAGGCTGATGGTGGGAAAATTTGAAAACTGTCACCTGACCAGTTTGGTAAGCATGTTGCCATTGTTTTAAGGTTATTGGCCCAAATGCAGACACAGTCTGAGAACAAGGAGCAGTTAAAGATGTTTATTTAGGCTACAAACTGGCAGGAAAGGCTCACTTCATGAGCTGCAGGTGGGGAACGGAAAGTCCAAGTGAGGAGCACGCCAGGTATGGGTCATCTGTCTGCGACTCACAGCCTTCCAATGGGAGGAGATGGCTGAGTGGGTCAGCCGATGGAACACGGGCAGGAGCCCGAGCAGCACCTCAGCAGAGGCTGGTTCGAGGAGCAGCTTGAGAAACCAGCGTGAATCCAGGAAGGAGGTTCTCTTGTCCAGCTAAGTAACACTGAGGGGGGGTGAGGGGAATGCCAGAGCATATTCTGAGCATCAGGAATTCAGGAACCAGTCCTCAGAGCATGGAGACTGACAGGTGAGTAATCCAGAGCACAACTAACTGAGGGAGACAGGAGACAAGTTAGAACCAGGAATCCAGGACATCAGACAAACATGAACAAAGATCTGTCTGCAGGACAGAGGCCTTGGCGTAGCACAACGGTTTAACACTCTGGCGTCCTTCAGCTGACCGAATGCTCCACTTAAAGGAATAGTAAACCCAAAACATGATTAGCCTTCATTTTCTACTCACCCCCATGCTGAACAACACTCTGGAGTACTTTTTTGATATCTCAAATGCATCTGGAGATCTGGGAGGCTTCTTGCTGTCTGCTGACATTCAAATAATGGAGGTCTATGGTGCCCGAGACAGAAAGGTCCATAAAAGTCCACAAAAAACGTGTCAATATTCCTCAATACTGCTCGTCCAATGTATTCCAAGTGTCCTGAGTGGGTAGCATCCAAAATTTACTCGAAACAAAGTCATTTAGAATGTTTTTAGAGCATAAACAGTAGTGTATAGGATTTCCTGAAAGCGCGCGCCAGCGCGTTCAGGACGCTACGGAGGCCGGCAGACCAAACCAGATGAAAGTGCGCAGAAACAACGAAAGAAAAATGTCTGAGGACTTCAGTGTTGAGGAAGAGCATGAGTTCTTTGCCGAGCTGAATGCGCACTTTCATCTGGCTTGGTCTGCCGCGGTTTCCGTAGACTCATGAACGCGCTTTTAGGAAATACTATACACTACTGTTTATGCTCTAAAAACATTCTAAATGACTTCGTTTCGAGTAAATTCTGGACGCTACCCACTCAGGACACTTGGAATACATTGGACGAGCAGTATGGAGGAATATTGACACGTTTTTGTGGACTTTTATGGACCTTTCTGTCTCGGGCACAATAGACCTCCATTATTTGAATGTCAGCAGACAGCAAGAAGCCTCCCAGATCTCCAGATGCATTTGAGATATCAAAAAAGTACTCCAGAGTGTTGTTCAGCATGGGGGTGAGTAGAAAATGAAGGCTAATCATGTTTTGGGTGTACTATTCCTTTAAGCCATGCCCACCTGTCAACAACAACCACCTGTGGAAGAGAGTGAGCAGAGCACAGAGCACAGGATCCTGACACATGTATTCTAGCCTTGTGTTGCAAGGCTTACTCATTTCTTTGTGGGAGGCTCAAGGTTAGGTTATCTGGAAATATCTGGAAAGCATCATGGAAAGGGAGGTCAATATGATTTTTTAAAAAAGGTCTCAAAGATTATTTTAGCATACATGGGTGACAATAGAGAGGTATTCAGTATTGCAAATGTTCTGTTCTGACAATGATATACAATTTTATGAAAATATTACATAGAGTTTTTCTATGCAAACCTTAATTTTCACATGTGTAAAATATCGGAATAATATAAACAACCACTTTTGGCATTTACTTTAGCATATTTAGTTACGTTAACACAATTGTTTTATGTCCTAACCTGCTAAAATGAAAGAGTTGTGTTAAAGTAAATAAATATGATTAAGTAAATGCCAAAAATGGTTGCATTATTTATTTATTTATTTATTTATTTATTTATTTATTTATTTATTTATTTATTTATTTATTTATTTATGTTTTAGTGAACAAACCCAATTGGAAAGCTTGTTTTTTATATATATACAAAACATATATTTTTTTAGAAAGAAAAACCTAACAGAATACACTTGTTAAACTTAATACGATTAGGAGTCTAACTGTGTCCAACTGCATCAGATACTATAATCATTTCTAAAGGAAGAAAGACAACAGTGCGGAAAGTTTTGGAGATATCGTTCATATCTCACCTTTATCCACCTGTCCATCTCCTTCTCCTTCCCCTTGCTCTCGTTCTCGCTGACAGAAATACATTAACCAGGACCGGCCTGCCTTGAAGTTCCTCCCGTAGCAGCTGCTGTCTCAAACACTTTATTGAATTATCGAACAGAGGATATATATGACAAATGGAGTCAACAGAATAGCTTTTTGGTTTACATCCCTATCCAAACACACAGTGTTTACTCCAGGAAATCAAAGTATAAATCTGTTTCCTGCCCATGAGCAGATCGATAGTGTGCTAAAGATATCTTTGGGTGTCTGTCAGCAAACCCAAGAGTCATAGGGCCGGTGTCGTGCCAAGGTAGTTATCCCTGCCAAAATTTGTATCCCCTCGTCGGGAGCGCGCACAGAGTAGAAAGAACAACCCGAGTTAACTCCGCCTCAATTCCAACGTGCAGAACTTCAAATTTTAAAGGTTTTATGTGTATGAAAGTTGAGCTTTACTGTTTTATTCTTTACTTCACATGTTATAGCAGAATATCGCCAGTGATATTGATTTAAAACGTTTGCTTGAAAGCTGGTCGCTGACAGCAGTGTCTACTCCTCCCTCTGAAAGCAAACAGATCCCTGTTCTTTTCCTCACGTTCATTAAAAAATATCTCTCATGTGTATGAAAGTTGAGCTTTACTGTTTTATTCTTTACTTCACATGTTATAGCAGAATATCGCCAGTGATATTGATTTAAAACTAATAATGAAACACAAACGTTTGCTTGAAAGCTGGTCGCTGACAGCAGTGTCTACTCCTCCCTCTGAAAGCAAACAGATCCTTGTTCTTTTCCTCACGTTCATTAAAAAATATCTCTCATTGTTTCACAGTGTCCAAATGTTCTCATCCCATTGAAAACTGTTGTAAACCATATACTTGTAATAAAAATGAAATAGAAAATGGAGTGCTCGTGTAATCATTAAAGACTATATGCAGAAGGAAAATATTTTTTTCCTGGTTGAAATTTAGTACTTAAATCTATATTTGTGTTTATAGTAACGTACAATTTATCTATGTTGTACTATCCTTAATAAACAGTTTGTCTTCTAACATCAGCCATTTTATTTCATCCCATATTGCCAGAACCAGCAATATGGGATGAAATAAAACCTGCTGTAATCTGTTCCCCCTGTCTAAATCAGACAAAAAAGGTCCCAGTTTTTCCATTTTTGGTTTATAAGCATCTTTTATGATAACAACTAATCCCTGAAACTTTGGAGTTGATTGACCTTTATTTCTCAAAGTTACAAGGGGGGAACAAATTACGGCAGGCCACCTGCCGTAATCTGTTCCCCCTGTCTAAATCAGGCAAAAAAGGTCCCAGTTTTTCCATTTTTGGCTTATAAGCATCTTTTATGATAACAACTAATCCCTGAAACTTTGGAGTTGATTGACCTTTATTTCTCAAAGTTACAAGGGGGGAACAAATTACGGCAGGCCACCTGCCGTAATCTGTTCCCCCTGTCTAAATCAGACAAAAAAGGTCCCAGTTTTTCCATTTTTGGCTTATAAGCATCTTTTATGATAACAACTAATCCCTGAAACTTTGGAGTTGATTGACCTTTATTTCTCAAAGTTACAAGGGGGGAACAAATTATGGCAGGCTACCTGCCGTAATTTGTTCCCCCTGTTTAAATCAGGCAAAAAAGGTCCCAGCTTTTTCATTTTTGGCTTATAAGCATCTTTTATGACAACAACTAATCCCTGAAACGTTGGAGTTGATTGACCTTTATTTCTCAAAGTTACAAGGGGGGAACAAATTACGGCAGGCTACCTGCCGTAATTTGTTCCCCCTGTCTAAATCAGGCAAAAAAGGCCCCAGCTTTTTCATTTTTGGCTTATAAGCATCTTTTATGATGACAACTAACCCCTGAAACTTTGGAGTTGATTGACCTATGTTTCTTAATTTACAAGGGGGGACAGGCTTTACCAGCTGAGATTTTTAGATGTAAAAGTGTCTTTATGGTAGTTACTGAAGTAAAATTAAGCTGACAGCACCTACTCACTGCACGCTTAAGTAATTGTAAAGTGTGGAGCCTGTAACGTAACCCTTTAGGGTAATAACTGTCACGAGGGCATCTAGTAGTCTAACCCAAATGCAGAAATCACTCAGGAGGAAGGGAAAAAGTTCAAAGGTTTATTTACAATAAAGTACTATAATCACAGGTTCTGGGTTCTGGCAGACAGTAGCAAGTGGGTTCGCCACTCAGGAGGACAGAGAGGTCTGAGTGATCCGGATTACTTGCAGGTTCAGGAGGACAGAGATGTATTCCTGTCCAGGGGGGTAACGGTTCTGCTGAGGGGGTGTAGAGATGATCCAGGAATATTGCTGGTGGTTTGATGTTCAGGTGAATTTCTGTTCTGGAGTGGAGCAGAGCTGCAAAGAGGGAAACCTTCAGGGTCCAGAGGCGAGTAGGCAGACAGAGGGCTGAGGGTTTGCAGAGATTGAGCTGAGTGCAGGCAGGAGGAGAACTGAGAGCTTGGCAGAGGCAGTCTGAGTGCAGGCAGAATCCCGGTTGAGCTCTCTCTCTCTCTCTTGAGGACTTGGCTGAGGCAGAGGCAGAGCTTACTGAGAGCTTGCAGGCAGATCACAGACTGAGTCTCTCTCCAAGTAATCTTCTGAGGGCGGGCAGGCAGATACTCACAGAGGAAGCTCCCCAGAGTTCGACAGAGAGCAGGCAGGCAGATAACCAGCAGAGATAACTCTCCAGGGTTACTGGTAGTCAGGCAGGATCTATCTGTGAGACAGAAAGGGGAAACTGGTTCAGGCTTGGTTCATAAAAAGTCAGAAGACTCAGACAGGCAGGTTGGCTCAGGTTTTGCTAACCGTTACTGGCAAACACTTTGGCGCTGGAGTGGTCTGATGAGGAGATGAAAGACAGGTGAGGCAGGTGAGCACAAGCCCTCAGGAAGGAATCCTTGGCGCCCTCTGGTGGGCAAGCCTCCGGATCCCAACAGGCAGCACAAGCCCTCAGGAAGGGATCCTCGATGGCATCTGGTGGGCAAGCCTCCGGATCCCAACAATAACAAATAGTAGCAAAAAATTGTAATTCAAAGTTTTGCTTATAACTTCTCAATAAAAAAAAAAAAATTTATTACAAGATAAAAACATCATAATAGAAACAACTTAACAAAACTATTGACATGCAAAGCACACGTAATCCTCTTGGGGATCTGGGTTTCCAACACATTGAAGGTGGTACCATCTGAAGCAGTCGTCACACTGAATCTGTTAAAAATAGAGAAAGAAATCAGCATAGAAAGAAGGGAATTCTTACAAGCACCTGGCAATATTGTCAAATACCCAGATGTCTTCAGTGTCCGTGTTTTTCTCGCCACAAAAGTGACAGAGGTTGCTCAGGTCATCTGTAAGACATACCAAAATATGCAATGAGCCTCAATTTTTTTTGACAATATCACATCAAATAATACAATGTTAATGTTTCCAATAGTTAAAAGCAAGATACTAATCATGTAAGACAATCCAAAGGTAATTGAATACATACCTGTGCTGAGAAGGAGAGTGGTCGCAATTTTCATCCTGTGCTTGTTTATTTCTTTTTAGTTGTCGGAAAAGAAATCTTTTCTTTTCTCAGGATTTTCTCAGCAAACTGTAAAAAGACATTAGATTTTTTTTTTTAGAAAAAGACATTTTAAATGTCTTTACAGACATTATATTGTACATTGCTAATAGGCGAAGCAGCTTGAAACTAATCTAGATATTATAAGTTACATATGATAGATAGATAGATAGATAGATAGATAGATAGATAGATAGATAGATAGATAGATAGATAGATAGATAGATAGATAGATAGATAGATAGATAGATAGATAGATAGATAGATAGATAGATAGATAGATAGATAGATAGATAGATAGATAGATAGATAGATAGATAGATAGATAGATAGATAGATAGATAGATAGATAGATAGATAGATAGATAGATAGATAGATAGATAGATAGATAGATAGATAGATAGATAGATAGATAGATAGATGTACTTTATTTATCCCAAGCTGGGAAATTGCAGTGTAGCAGCAGCTTTACACATAGTGACAGTCACAACACAATAAGATAAGAAAAAAGTAAAAATAACATAACATCCACGCGTATTTACATAATAAGGGTAATTTACATAATAAGGGTGCAGTGAACATCCCTGAGGTGCAGTGAACAGATTATAAATAAGTATTAAAATATGGAGTGCAGTACAGTACAGTGCTGGTTACTGTATGCTGAAACAAGAGTTTATTTTTTATTGTACAGTGTGATGGCATATGGTAGGAAAGATTTCCTGTATCTGTCCCTTCGACAGTGGAGCTGGAGCAGCCTGTGAGAAAAGGTGCTCCGCTGTCTGACCACTGTGTGGTGGAGAGGGTGCTGATCATTGTCAATGATGGATAAGAGTTTATTCAGCGTTCTCCTCTCCACCACAGTCTCAAAAGACTCCAGCCTGAGTCCAAGTACAGAACCAGCCCTCCTGATGATTTTATCAAGTCTGTTGGTGTCGCTGGCTCTGATGCTGCTGCCCCAACACACAGCAGCAAAGAAAATGGTGCTGGCAACAACAGACTGGTAAAAGATCTCCAACATCTTGCTGCACACATTGAAGGATCTCAGCTTCCTCAAGAAATAGAGTCTGCTCATCCCCTTCTTGTACACAGCCTCAGAGTTAGACCTCCAGTCCAGTCTATTGTCAATTATCACTCCCAAGTATCTATAGTCCTCCACCTCCTCCACCACCTCCCCCCTAATCCGTAGTGGCTGTGAAGACATGATATGAATCTTTTCAATTACACAGATACGTCTTTTTGTACATAACTATGTATTTTTGCATATTTGGATGCCTGCCTTCAAGGTGAAGAGTCCACATGATGTGCCATCTGTCTGTTTGGGATGCATCACTGTGTCACAAGTCCACCTGGAGATGTTACATCCCATTTTTTGCATAAATGCCCTGTAAACACATTTAAAATTTTAATAATGCATGACTTTGCGTTTGTGTTATGCAAATTTGAAAAAGAATTATTTCAATATCCATCCTTTCAGTGGTCCAGGTTTTATTTGTTTGTGTTTTCATGATACATTTCAGTTTGAAATAAACATTACAAATTTTTTTTAATGGGGTCGTAATTGTGCTATTGTACTGGACTTTTGGATCAACCTTGTACAAGAACATAAAGCTTAAATTTTTAATGTACCTTACTGCGTTTAGAGAAAGGTTCATACTGTACATAAGTGTAAGAAACACATTGAAAAAAATAAGCCTGCATTACTATTTATTCTGTAATGTAAATTGTGACATCCACAAAATTGGACATTATTCACAATAACATTTTTAAAATCAGGCTTTGTAAGGAAAGATATTTTGACATTTCTTGATTTTTCCTTGCCTTGTAGTAGCCCGACATGTCTGTATGTCCTGTTTACTCTCTCCTAAAGGATCCAGAAACACCGACCGCTTGTCTTGTGGGTAGATTACCTATGATTAATTTGATTTAATAACAAAAATTCCTGGAATCACTCACTTTTGATCAGTGTCCTCTTCACATTAACAAAATTACACTTATTGACATTTTCGTAAAGGAATAATGAACACGGAAGGGTTAATTACCACTAACATCCAGTGATGATGCTTGTTCACAATTCCCAGAATTACACCATATTCCATTGGTTTTATCTAAAATGAATGATGTAACATGTTAGTAACTTCATTATAACAGCGATGAAACATATACCCAACACATGAATAGAAAAACAAACCAAAACAAAGATAAAAAAATATATATATTTTTACTAATCCAAATGATAAGTGCTAAATCCTGTTTAGTATTTATTTGAAAGATTTCGGAAGCTCTGGGTCAAGGCAGCAGTTATCTAAAAAACGTGTGTTTGGATAAACAGATTGAGTCGTTTCTACTTGATTATTCAAATGATAAAGTTTTCCCATGTGATGTCAGCCTATGATCAATAATAATACAGGTCTTTTGAACAAAGCTTCTGTAACTTGTTTAAGGTTTCATTTCTCAGTTGTGCTTTTATTTCTTTTGCTCTGTGTTGTGGTGAAAATGTATATTATTTCTTAAAACATTCGTTTTTATCTTCCGTCTAATCTATTTTTTTGCATTATGGGTATTATGTACTCATTGCTATAGTTTGTTAGTTATTTATTCTGTTATGATTAGGTTTTATTTTCCATGGCTTCAGTTATCTAGAGTTCCTTTTTTATCCTCTAGTTTTTCACTTGGTCATTCCTTACTTTGTAGTCATTATTTTAATTCACATTTATCCTTATGTTACTTTCTAGCTTTAGTTGAACCCTGTTTTCCCTGTTTGCGGTTTGTTGTTGCTCCTATTGCCAGTTATTTCCTCTTATATCCTTCTAAGCTTTTTCTAAACACACTGGCTCATAATTACCTGATAACACCTGTTATTGTTCTGTCTCCCATATATTCTCCGCCTTTGCGGTTCCTCTGTGCTTTATATTCTTCTCACCTACAAGACACCATCTCTACCCTGTGTCTCTGCTCTTGAGTCCTCCACAGAACCAGATAGCTTCTAACCAAATATTTTTGACATTATATAATGTGTTCAACACATTCAAGTAATTCACTGTCACCGTTGAAGCATTTACATGATTCTCTGAGGACAAGGTTCCAGCTTTAGCAATAACAGTTTTTCTTCACATCATTTACATGTTGTGAAAAGTTGATTATGAGATTTTACATAATTTTCTCTATTACTACACAAACCTTGAGTCGCAGAATCTTCCCATTCCATATGGATGTCATTGCAAACGTGTCAATGAAAGTTGATTTTGTAGTTTCTGCACAATTGTAGTCATTTATAAGGAGGTGAAGATAAGCGTTGATTGACTGTTCATAAATAAAAAAGCACATTAGTCAGCCATTCACAGAATAAAAAAAACATATGTTTTTTAAGTTTGAAATTAAACTTTCCATTTTGCAATACCTCGCTTTCCAACTCCATGTCTGGAACAAGTTGCTTTATGTCCCAGTAAAAGAGCTTATAGGCACTGATCTTTGAGAGTAACACGTTGCATGTTTTTCCACCCCATGCCTCAAGTACATCTGGATAAAAGAGAAATGGTGACACATTAAGATCGTTATACATGAACAGTTATATATTTATAACTAATCTGTTACACTTCCCATTGTGACTTCAATAGATCTAATCAGTTAAGGTGCAAAGGATTTAGTTCCCCTGATATATGTCAGTAACGCTTTGTTTTACAGTACAACTACCATTCTGTCTAACCATTTATAACATGGTAATAGCATAGCAAATTACACTATAAACTTTATGCATAATTTTGTGCTGTGCTTTAAGTTCTAGGCAGACAAGAAAAAGTCAGACTTCTTAAATGTCAATCCGTTATTACCAGCTAACGCATTCATTTCCCTAACAAAAATAAATGAATGTGTTTTTATCCAGTTATATGCAGTTTATTACTTGAAATATAACAGAAAATGATACCTAGAATACGGCATGCCAATTTTCTTACCTATCTTATTTATATGTAACTTCAGTTGAGTTATATAATGCTTTATTTACCTGATCATAGGTTAAAACTTAATTTGCAAGCCATTGGTAGGTGGTGGGCAATAATAGAAACATTATGTTAACTACAACCTTATGGTAATTACCCAGCAAAAGTCTTCATTGTTACATAGCAATGAAACATGTAGGCAATTACTTTGATATTATATACATTAATTTGGGGTAATTACCAGATAAAGTTTTTATTGTTACCTAGTAATATAGTGAGACTAACCTGTTATTACATGCTTTTTGATGTACTGTAAAACAAAGTGTTACCTATGCATCTACATAGAAAACTAAAATTTAAACATTAGCTGTAAATTTTCATTTACATTTGTTCAAAAATATAACTATTATTATTTAAATTACACCAAAAAGTTAAAGACAAACTACATAGAATATATTCCCAGAATGACAGAAGTTTTTCTTCATACATTTTTCTGCATCTGCTTTGCTGTACTTTGGAAAAGACTCAGATTTTGAAGGAGAATCGTTGGCAGCAGCTGAGCATGGTAGAGGAGATGCACGGGGTGGAGGAGAAGGGGATGGTGGAGGAGCAGCGGTGGCAGCAGCTGAGGGTAGTGGAGGAGATGCAGGGGGTGAAGGAGATGAGGATGGTGGAGGAGATGGCGATAGTTGAAGAGATGGAGATGGCGGAGGAGATGGGGATGGTGCAGGTGCAGCAGTGTCAGCAAATGGGGATGGTGGAGGAGATGGGGATGGTGCAGCAGTGGCAGCAAATGGGGATGGTGGAGGAAATGGGGATGGTGGAGGAGATGGGGATGGTGCAGCAGTGTCAGCAAATGGGGATGGTGGAGGAGATGGGGATGGTGCAGCAGTGTCAGCAAATGGGGATGGTGGAGGAAATGGGGATGGTGGAGGAGATTGGGATGGTGCAGCAGTGTCAGCAAATGGGGATGGTGGAGGAAATGGGGATGGTGGAGGAGATGGGAATGGTGCAGGTGCAGCAGTGGCAGCAAATGAAAGCGGTGGAGGGGATGCAGGGGCAGGAGAAGATGCATGTGGTGGAGAAGCACTGGCCAGAGAAGCAGGGGGAGTAGCACTTTGTCTCTTTTTTTTTAAACCCCAGTGTGGCACTCTTGCTGTTGGGATTTTGACCAGTTTAAGATGATCTACATTTACTTTTTCGAATATGACACCATTTGAATCCTTAATGTCTGCGCTTTTGTCCTGGATTGATATTACAATGAATGGTCCTAGATAGTTGGCCTCAAGCTTCCCTCCTTTTCTTTGTTGGCTTCTTATGTTGGCTCTCAAGACGCTGTCACCAACTTTAAGGGTTTCAGCGCTTGTTCTGCTTTTCATCCTTTTCTTCATCTTGTCTTGTGCTTTGCTGACATTGTCCCGAATGACTTCCATTAGCTGTTCATGTTTTTCAATGTCAAGTGCCACCTCTTCTTGTCCGACAAGATTTTCCACACTGCTGTCCACCTATTCAACGAAACAAATTTGCTGTAACAAATCTTACAACTGTAATATTTTATAAAAGAACATATTACAGACAAAAAAACTTCTAAATTGATCAAATTAAAGTCAATTCCTTGATAGCTCTTAAGTAAAACTGAGTTTAATAAAGAGCATTATTTGTAATTATGATGGTTTTTGTAACTGGTAGAACTTATACCAACCATTAACTGCTCTGGAATTTGTGATGGGTAACGAGCCTCTCTGCCAAACATCATGAAGAAAGGAGAGTATTTGGTGGTCATCTGTTTTTTTGTTCTAATTCCAAACATGATGGCGTCAATATACTCATCCCAGGTGTCCGGATTGTCCCCTACAACTTTACAGAGGGCTCTGACAGCATGAAGAAACACAAACATTAATTAGCATGATCTATTTGGTCATGTAGTGAAGACGTTGAATGAAAGACAACCTAGTTTTATGGAGAAGCAAAAGTGACAAAATTTGAAAAAGAAGAAGACATATATTGTGTGTTGTTGATGTTGAAATGATGGAAAGAATAGGTTCATCAAAGCCCCCCTTCTTACCCACAATAACCATACCAGATTATTTTGAGGTCATTAACTCACTTTATTTTTAGGTGAATAATTTTAGTTTTTGGGTGGTTTCTTTATCTCATTTATTTATTGTTCGAGGGTCTATTTCCTTTAAGTATATGCAGTGGTGTAGGACCATCATTAATCGGGGTTGGGCATATGTTTTTTTTTTTCCAGAACAGGAGAAGCACCAGGAACAAAGACAATGTTGATCTGTATTATGAGTTTGCTACCAGGATGACTAAACATTACAATGCAGTCTTCAATTTTTTTGCATTAGAATTCTTTAGAATTCTACATAAACAATATAAGCCCTGTGCAGTCATGGCTTGTTTGAATTTTGGGACGTTTCATTTAAAAAACTTTCACCAGTATGATGTTCTGTCCACCTTAAACTTTTGCCAACACAACAAAAACAGGTTGTTGCCGCTCAAGATAAATAACTTAGAGAACAAAATGAATGTAAAGGACTAATAAACAATAAAAACAAAGCATCTTTATATACAAACAATGCCTACATAATGGCAATGATAAACAAAAAACATGCATGTTTTTAGGTCAATTGAAATCATGGCCTTGAGCCCAGGAGCTGAAAGCTGCATTGGTAGTTCATGCTCTCAAGGCCCAAATTAAGTTTAATATTATGTCTTTTCTGCTGAGGAAAGCAGTGGTACGATAAATGTTTGTACCCACATGCACAGGGATTGATTGTTTGATTATGCTGTTGTGAAATTCTAATGTATATGTCTTTATCCATTTGTATTAATAGCTGTAACATTCATAGTGTGAGGGTGTAAATATTAATTGTTACCTCTGAATTGTGCCGTTCATCCGCTCCACCAAGCCATTTGTTTGTGGATGGTATGGTGAACACAGGCTTCTTTGAATGTGTAGCATTTCACAGATGTTTTTGTTCAGCTGCACAAACAAATTAAACAACTTGAGTGTAGTACATTTCAATATGAAGGAAACCATGCACAGGGGTTAATGAATTAAATATAAAGAGGTCATCATTCCCACAGTAATGATCTGTATAGTATTGTATAAACTGAACAGTGGAGAAACATAATGACATTGTTCGAATTATCAGAACTCTGGTATATTCAATTGAATGTGCTACTTTTGTACGCCAAGAGTTTGTTTCACATGGAAAGTCCAGCCATTAACCAAAAACTTACATCATGAAAAAGAACAATCTTAGATGAAATTCTGATTTTTTTTCCAGTGCAATACCATTGGGAAATTGTTTCCATGACTTTGCAAAAAACTTAATTAATAGAAATGGTATAAGTCAGCGTCCAGGAATAATGTCATGTGAGGTACTTACCGAATTGACAAATTCTCTTCCCTGGTCAGTGAGAATCCGTTTTGGACATTCAAACTGATACACAAATTTGATTAAACAGGTGGTCACTTCAATGGCAGATTTTGTATTCAACGGGTAAGCTTGTGGCCATTTGGTGAAGTAATCAATGAAGACGCAGAGATATTGATTTCCGTTTTTGGTTTCTGTTAATTTTCCAATCAGATCCATCCCAACTAGTTCAAACGGTTGAGAAACCTTAAAAACAAGGAGATGCAAAATAATTGTGACAGAAATAATGGGTTCAGCATAATTAAATTAATATTAAATACAATTATCAACAATTTGTTGTTGTTGTTTTTTTTGTGTGAAAGTGAACTAAAATGGTTACTCTGCAAAGGAAGAAGTTGCAGATGTACATCATTGCACAACACTTACAAGAGAATAGGAGGACAAAGAAAGCCAGACAAAAAAGAAAACATTAACATTGCAAGGTGTTGCAGTAATCAATTGGACTACACATAATTATATGTAAATTTTTTCCTGGAGATTATTGAGATCTCAGGTAAAAATGACTCACCTTTATTGGAATTATTTCAGAAGGTTTTTTTATTGTATTTGCATGTGTCTGACAAGCTGTGCACTCGGAAACCTAAATTGGAGGAAAATTAAAAAAATTAAGTTAATAAGCAACCCTTTCAAATTTTTAATTTATAAGAAAACAGTGTCATGCATTCTGCACATTAAAACAAATCAGAGTTTAATTGTCGTAATTTTATGAAATGGGTCCATTATTTTTACCCACCCATTTAATGATATCTACTGACATCCCAGGCCAGTAGAACCGCTTAGAAATGGCTTCGACAGTTTTTCTTTGTCCACAATGCGCTCCAGTGGGGCTGGCATGAAAATCTGTGAAAATCAAGTTTGCCTCTTCTGTTCCACACACCACCTTGGTTTTGACGGACCTAGCCCTGCCTTTGTGACGCCAGTACACCAGCTGGCCCCCTAAAGACAAAATAAAACAATACATTACATACAATGTATTATATTTATTATAACCTTATATGAATAGAAAACACATTTTGTAGATGCCATTTATGAGGCCCCTCACCTTCTTTGCGAAAAGAGTTAAATTAATTAAGAAACGGACTAATGAGTTATTACTCCAATGCTTCCCTAGAAGCGTAAGGTGGAAAATAATCACCACGTCTCTCAATGCGTAAAACTTAATTGTTATTTGTTTTCTTAATATTTTTGTAACACAGGTAGTGAAAACTTTTATAGCTTACCTTCAATGTCGTACAGTGACGCTTGCCTTCGAAGAAGAAATTTTTCTTTCTTGGTAAAAGAAGGTGGATATTCCCCTTTTAATTTATAGGCTACCACGCGTTTGTATTCCTCTTTATCCATTAATGCACTTTTTTCAGTAGGCTATTACTAAGACGTAATAAAGTAATTTTAGCGGTTTCTGTTTTGAGCAAATAAAGGTATGGATAATCCTTCTACGCTGATGTATTTCTGACTTTTCGTATTTCGGGGTCATGAGGAGTTCATGGTGCGTTTGTGTAGTGTTTGGATCCTAAGTTTATATTGCTGGTCATTTGAACCCACACACTTTATTATTACTAAAACTACTTGATATAATTAATTTTGATTTCTCCGTTATTTCTGTGCAGGTTGAGTTTTTAGACATTCAGATAAATTTCTATTGCATGACGTCTGAAGTCAAACTGGATGAAATACATTAAGATATATATATTGAAAATGATATCTGATTTGCCTGAATTAGACAGGGGGAGCAGATTACGGCAGATGACCTACTATAATTTGTTCCCCCTTGTAACTTTGAGAAATAAAGGTCAATCAACTCCAAAGTTTCAGGGATTAGTTGTCATCATAAAAGATGTTTATAAGCCAAAAATGAAAAAACTGGGACCCTTTTTGCCTGATTTAGACAGGGGGAACAAATTACGGCAGGTGGCCTGCCATAATTTGTTCCCCCCTTGTAACTTTAAGAAATAAATGTCAATCAACTCCAAAGTTTCAGGGATTAGTTGTCATCATAAAAGATGCTTATAAGCCAAAAATGAAAAAGCTGGGGCCTTTTTTGCCTGATTTAGACAGGGGGAACAGATTACGGCAGGTTTTATTTCATCCCATATTGCTGGTTCTTGCAATATGGGATGAAATAAAACGGTCAATCACCCCCAAAGTTTCAGGGGTTAGTTGTCATCATAAAAGATGCTTATAAGCCAAAAATGGAAAAACTGGGACCTTTTTTGCCTGATTTAGACAGGGGGAACAGATTACGGCAGGTGGCCTGCCGTAATTTGTTCCCCCCTTGTAACTTTGAGAAATAAAGGTCAATCAACTCCAAAGTTTCAGGGATTAGTTGTCATCATAAAAGATGCTTATAAGCCAAAAATGAAAAAGCTGGGGCCTTTTTTGCCTGATTTAGACAGGGGGAACAAATTACGGCAGGTAGCCTGCCATAATTTGTTCCCCCCTTGTAACATTGAGAAATAAAGTTCAATCAACTCCAAAGTTTCAGGGATTAGTTGTCATCATAAAAGATGCTTATAAGCCAAAAATGAAAAAGCTGGGGCCTTTTTTGCCTGATTTAGACAGGGGGAACAAATTACGGCAGGTAGCCTGCCATAATTTGTTCCCCCCTTGTAACATTGAGAAATAAAGGTCAATCAACTCCAAAGTTTCAGGGATTAGTTGTCATCATAAAAGATGCTTATAAACCAAAAATGGAAAAACTGGGACCTTTTTTGCCTGATTTAGACAGGGGGAACAAATTACGGCAGGTTTTATTTCATCCCATATTGCTGGTTCTGGCAATATGGGATGAAATAAAATGGCTGATGTTAGAAGACAAACTGTTTATCAAGGATAGTACAACATAGATAAATTGTACGTTACTATAAACACAAATATAGATTTAAGTACTAAATTTCAACCAGGAAAAAAATATTTTCCTTCTGCATATAGGGCCGGATTTATCAAAGGTTTGCGTGTATTAAAACGTGAGCTATTTCACTGCGCACGCTAAAAAATGTACAAACTGATCTATCAACAGCGTGCTAAAAGCATTTGGTCTTTAAAACGTGGTAAATAGCACCTCTGATCCATTTAGTACTTTTTCTGCAATGAATATGCAATATGGGGCGTTTACACGCTAAAGTGCGTCTTGTGGGAGGAGAACATGTAAATATATTAATTTAGCACTCGCAAAGTGATTTATCAAACTTGAACGCAATTTTGCTAACGGTATCTGACTCTATATTTAACACGTTCCAAAAGAAGGTGCAAATGGTCTGTATGCGTAATTGCGCACACATGGCAGCGGTTATTGTCGCAAGAAGGAGACATGGAAATAAAGCAAGGAGACGCAGAGAACGCATTTTTTCACTCCGTGTGAATATTTTTGGAATGAACGAGGAAACGATCATCAAAACATATCGTTTATCCAGCATTGCCATTTTGGAGCTGTTGGGGGAACTCCGAATGGATTTGGAGCCAGCCACAAGGAGGACCCACGCAATACCAGATATCACAAAACTCCTTGCAACATTGCACTTTTTTGCATCTGGGTCATTCCAGCGTACGGTTGCAGCGTGAGCTGGGATCTCCCAATCTCGTTTTTTCAGAAGTGCTGTCCGACGGGGTCGGGGTTCTCCCCCTGCGCCTGTGGAGCAACGTGCCAAATGCTGCGGGGATCTCATCCACAGTCACAGGCCAATACAAAACACCTGTTTTTTTTTTTTTGTTTTTTTTTTACTGCAGCACATACCACCTTAGGGAATAAAGGTTGTCAATTTATAAATATATATATATATATATATATATATATATATATATATATATATATATATATATATATATATATATATTTACTTATTTATTTTTTTTGTTGGGGGTCACTGTAAGATTTAAATTTCTTAATGCACTAGTTTGTACAGACTACAAACTACTTTGCCGCAAACCACAAAACGCGCAAAACCATCATTTAAATAGGGCGTCTCCAACAGTTTTGCACCTTCCACCAGTTACGCAATCACTCTTGTTAAATCACCCGCAAACCATGGTTCAGCCCCTCGCGCAAAATTCCAGTTTGCGAGCGCAAATTACTGCACGCAAAATTGGATCTTGATAAATCCGGCCCACAGTCTTTAATGATTACACGAGCACTCCATTTTCTATTTCATTTTTATTACAAGTATATGGTTTACAACAGTTTTCAATGGGATGAGAACATTTGGACACTGTGAAACAATGAGAGATATTTTTTAATGAACGTGAGGAAAAGAACAAGGATCTGTTTGCTTTCAGAGGGAGGAGTAGACACTGCTGTCAGCGACCAGCTTTCAAGCAAACGTTTGTGTTTCATTATTAGTTTTAAATCAATATCACTGGCGATATTCTGCTATAACATGTGAAGTAAAGAATAAAACAGTAAAGCTCAACTTTCATACACATGAGAGATATTTTTTAATGAACGTGAGGAAAAGAACAGGGATCTGTTTGCTTTCAGAGGGAGGAGTAGACACTGCTGTCAGCGACCAGCTTTCAAGCAAACGTTTGTGTTTTATTATTAGTTTTAAATCAATATCACTGGCGATATTCTGCTATAACATGTGAAGTAAAGAATAAAACAGTAAAGCTCAACTTTCATACACATGAGAGATATTTTTTAATGAACGTGAGGAAAAGAACAGGGATCTGTTTGCTTTCAGAGGGAGGAGTAGACACTGCTGTCAGCGACCAGCTTTCAAGCAAACGTTTGTGTTTTATTATTAGTTTTAAATCAATATCACTGGCGATATTCTGCTATAACATGTGAAGTAAAGAATAAAACAGTAAAGCTCAACTTTCATACACATAAAACCTTTAAAATTTGAAGTTCTGCACGTTGGAATTGAGGCGGAGTTAACTCGGGTTGTTCTTCCTACTCCGTGCGCGCTCCCGACGAGGGGATACAAATTTTGGCAGGGATAACTACCTTGGCACGACACCGGATCTATCAAAGGTTTGCGTGTATTAAAACGTGAGCTATTTCACTTCGCACGCTAAAAAATGTACAAACTGATCTATCAACAGCGTGCTAAAAGGA